CCACACCAGCTCTGCCTGGTGGTTTGGGGATGCCTGTTAAAGCAGGTTCCTCGGCTCCTCCCAGACCGACGCTGCCAGGAGAGCGGGGCCTTGGCGGCCGAGAAATATGCCTTCTACAGTAAGCCCGCTGCGGGGCTTACCTTTTACGTTTTATCTCTGAGTAGGAGGCTCAAGCTCGTCTGAAAAATTCTCATTCAGAATGAACTCTATAGGGCCCAGCAGGTGGCGCGGTGGTTAAGGCGCTGGATCACACAGGGCCCACAATGCAGTTGGTCTGGGCCCTGTGTTTGAGAAACACGCGGGTGCGCGGGTGCGCAGAATCCTGAGAGGAGAATGGAGGAGAACAGATAGTGGTATGGCCATCCCCTCTCAGGGAGGGGCGGAGGTAGGGTTCTCAACTTTCCTTCTCTCTGTCTCTCTCCAGCAAGAGCACTTTATGGCAAAAATCTAAAAATATAAAAAAATTAAAAGAAGAATTAAAATAGTTTTAAAAACACAATGAGCTCACGCTGCTGCACACACCCAAGATGGTGTGGAGGCTGAGACAGGAGGAACTCCTGTGGAATTGCAGGCCAACCAGGACAAAATAGCCAGTCCCTAGCTCTAAAAAAAAAAATTAAGTAAAAATAGAAAACACATTGAGGTGGTTATTGTAGCTGAATCCCACATGGTGGGAAGTGTAGTTTGACTTCCAGACCTGGCTTGAGAAACACGCCAGGCATGTGAGCATGTGTGCATACCCAACATCCCAAGAAGAGAATAGAGAAGGTACTGCCATTGCCATACCCACCCACCCCCACTCCTGGGTGGGGGCACTTTCTCATTTCCTTCTCTCTCTGTCTCTGCCTATGTTAGTGTACCTGCCCTATAGGGGGATTAAAAAAAAGGGGGGGGGAAACACAGTGAATTTAATTGCTTCTACCTGTATCCTTATCAACCAGAGTCCCTCCCCCCAGACTTCCTGCAGTCAGAAGTTTCCTCCAAGCACCAAATTGTGAGGCCCTCTGTGGACCATCTGCCAATCCTGAACATTTTATCCTCCCTTATAGTTCCCCTTTCCCTTCATCCTCATAAGTCCCATTTCCCTTCATCCTCGTAAGTCTCTACCAAACCCCAACGCCTAGAATCAGACACTTATTTTAAGTTATTTATTTATTCCATGAACTAGAGAAAGAGGGACCTCAACAGGCTCTTCACACTGAGATCCAGCCCATCTCATGGCACAGGGCTTGCACAGGGGGATCCTGGGAAGGGAATCATATGGGCCCAGTTACATTACCACCTCCCACTATCTGGCCCCGAGAATCACACACTTCTAAAGTAGAGTCAGGAATCTAGAGCAAGAGTATATTAAGCTCCTGCTGTGAGTTTAGCTTCCTGATGGAGCTGGGAGGAAGAGTGGAAGTATAACAAGGGTCTGCCCTCAAGTTGTTATAATCTCCTTCGGGAGGCCTATCACACTCCTGCACAAAACCAGTAACCCATGCCCCTCCTATTAGTTTCCTTCTGCTGCTACAACAAATTGCCACACATTTAGTGACTTAAAAACAACATAAATGTTGGGGCCAGCAGGTGGTATAGTGCTTAAGGCACTGGACTCCCACATAGCTGACCACAATTCAAGTTCTGGACCTAGTGGCTTGCTTTCCCACTTCCGCTCTTGCTTTCTCTGGTCAAATATTAATTAATTAATTATTAAAAAAACACAAATGTATTATCCTTTTTTAGGTCAAAAGTTTGAATATGGTTCTCCTAGGGCTAAAATCAAGGGGACATGAGGGCTGGCTTTTTCTGGAGGTTCCAGGGGAGCAATCTGTCAACTTACCTTTCCTAGCTTCTAGGGGCCACCCACATGCCTAGACTGGTGGTCCTCTTCCTCCCTCTTTTCCTTTACAAGGATTGAGGACCCAGATAACCCAGGATGATATCCCCATGTCAAAATCTTTACTTCATCACATCAGTGGAACCCCTTTGCCATGTAGGATTCTAGGAAACAGGATGTAGACATCTTGGGAGCCATTCTTCTGCCTGCCACAGTCTTCTGGAATGCAAGCTCTATTAGCAGGGATGATGCTAGTTTTATTCACGCAACCTCTAGAAGAGTATCTGTCATGTAATAACCCCTTCATAATATTTGCTGAATAGATGAGTGTGAGTGAATGAAGGAAAGGATTAAGCAACATTAAAGAGGATTATACACAAAGAATCCAGGCAAGGCAGGCTTAATTGTCAAACAAGTGATAAAAACCAGTATTAATCCCATTTTCCTCACTGTAGAACAATCTGAGGAACTTTATTATTTATTTTTTTTGGAAAGGTTTTTGCTATAGAGCACATGCACTCTCCAGACAGACAGAGAGAGACAGAGAGCAAGAAATCACCCCTCGGGGGGATGGCCCCGCCACAATCCCTTCTCCATTCTCCACTCAGGATCTTGGGCACACACGCACACCTGCCCGGTGTGAGTTTAAGCCACTGGATCCAGGACTCAAACTGCAGTCAACTACATGGGAGTCCAGCGACATAGCCATTATGCCAACCCCTGAAGAACCTCTTTAAAAATTAAAAATGGGCCAGCAGGTAGCATGATGGTTAAGGGCACTGGACTCCCACATGGACGACTGTGTTTGAGTCCCGGACCTGGCAGCTTGCTTTCTCACTTTCCCTCTCTCTTGCTCTCTCACTCTGTCCATCTCTGGTCAAATTAAAATAAATAAATAAGTAAATAAATAAATAAATAAAGTTTAATAAAAAATAATTCTCAAAAAAAAAAAAATAAAAACAAGGGACCAGCAGATGGCACAATGATCATGTTGCTGGGCTCGCTCCCACATGGTTGACTGCAGTTCAAGTCTCAGACCCTGTGACTTGAAACACATGCTGGGCATGTGTGCATGCGTGCCCAGAATCACAAGAGGAGAGTAGGGGGAAGGGATTGTGGTGTGACCATCCCCCCTGAGGGGTAATTTCTCATTTCTATCTCTCTGTCTCTCTAGCAAGTACATATGTCCTATAGCAAAAAACTCTCTAAAAAATAAAATAATGAAATTCCAAGTTCTGTAGTTCATAAAAAAACCTGAAAACAAAACAAACAAATGAAAACTACACTTCTGCTTATTAAATTAAGAAAAATTATTTTATTTAACTTTATTTATTTATGTACTTATTTTAATTTGACCAAAGAGGAACGGAGTGAGAGAAAAGAGAAGGGAAAGTGAGAAAGCAAGCCACCAGGTCTGGGACCCGAACTATAGTCCACCATGTGGGAGCCCAGTGCCCTCAACTACCACGCCACCTGCTGGCCCCCTGCCTATTAAATTTTGACTCTTGGAGTATGTATGTACACATATGTGAATGTGTGTATATATTATCTGTCTAGATAGATTTTTTTTTTTGTCTTTTTCGTTTCCTTTTAAAAACTTTGCTCTAGGAGCCAGTAGATGGCGTAGTGGTTACGTCACTGGACTTTTGTGTGGTCAACTGCTGTTCAAGTTCTGGACTCAGCAGCTTGAAGAGCATGCTGTGCACATGTGCATGAGTGCCCAAAATCCTGAGAGGAGAATGGAAGAGAAGGGATTGTAGTGTGATCATCCCCCCAGGGGGTGATTTCTCTCTTTCCTTCTCACCGTCTCTGCCTCTCTCTTTCTCTTTCCATGAGTACAGAGGAAAAAAAAAACTCTCTAAAAAAAAAGCTGCTATAGAGTGTGTGTACTTACCAGAAGTAGAAAGAGAAAGTAAGAAAACATATCTTATGGGGGATGATGACACCACAATCCATTTTCCATGTTCCTTTCAGAATTCTGCACACACTCATGTGTGTTTTAAGCCTCTGGGTCTCAGACTTGGACTGGGCAGTAGGCCAGCTGCCCTAATCACTGTGCCACCAGTTGGTTTGATAGATTTTTTTTTGAGAGGTTTTTGCTATAGGGCGTGTGCGTTCGCCAGAAAGACAGAGAGAGACAGAAAGTGAGAAATCACACCCCAGCGAGGATGGCCATGCCGCAATCCCTTCTCCTCCATTCTCCTCTTGGGATCTTGGGCACGCACACACATGTGACCAACATGAGTTTAAGCCACCGGGTCCAGGCCTCGAACCGTGGTTGACTACATGGGAGTCCAGCGACATAGCCATTACGCTAACTGCTGGTCCCTCTTTTCTTTCTTTCTTTCTTTCTTTTTTTTTTTTTAATAGAGCATCATTGGGGCCAGCAGGTGGAGTAGTGGTAAAGGTGCTAGACTCCCATGTAGCCAACCGTGGTTTGAATACCAGACCCAGCAGCTTGAAACACATTCTGGGTGCATGTGTGTGCATGCCTGAGATCCTGAGAGGAGAATAGAGAAGGGATTTCTGGAAGGCCATCTTCCCTGGAGGGTGATTTCTCACGTTCCCTCTCTCTGTCTCTCCAGCGAGCACATGTGCCCTATACCAAAAATCTCAAAAACATAACAAAACAAAAACCCAGAGTAGCATTATGTTGAGATCCTCCTTCCCCATCCACCCCACATTTGGCTCTTTCGGATAGGGTCTGGGACCTGGGGCTCTCACTTTCTCTTTCCTTACCTCAACAAATAAAATAATAATAATAACAAATAAAATAAATATATTTTACAAAATAGAAAGGTTCTGAGTATAAAGAGCCTTGCATGCTCTGCTAAGAAAGTTGACCTCCTCCCCATGGGGCCAGAGGAGAAAAGCAACAGTTCTGCATTTAAAAATATAGCCAGGGTACTGATGTGAGGGTGAAGTGCCTGCGTGAAGCTAGACTCGGAGAG